TTTGATATCCGCAGCTGTTTCTGCTCCTCTTTTTATCTACTGGTTAATAACATTTCCCTTCCCAAGTCCTGAAACCCTTCTTGACATGCTCACTTTAACAGCTTTTCATTGATTTTCCCCTTTAATCTGATTTCAAGAAGAAGGATTGCAGGATCATGAGAGAGGAGTGTGTGCATCGGACTGCGGGCATAAAGCAGAGGGTTAGTCAGTGAGTTAGGAAGAACAAAGCCAGCCATGAGCATTCAGAGTACATGTTAGTAATCACCCGACTGTTAGCAGATATTAGTATTGTTAGATATTAGTCAGATACTGTTAGTATAATCCAGACATGGGTAAAAAGCTATTTGCACATAATTATTAGCATTTGCTGTAATTTGCTGGTGTATCAGATGATGGGGCTGTAGGCATCGGGACAGTTTAATTAACGCTAGCATACACCATTTCGAAAACTACACACCATTAATTTCCAGCGACGTTCCTGCAATTATCTAAATCACAAGAACCCCCACCTAACTGGTACTGCAAATATGTCGTAACAAATGCCAAGAATCATTTGTAAATACTTTTTTATCCTTTGTCCGAAACATCCATTGTGTTTAAAGAAGAATTTCAGGCATGTTAAAGTCTGTGCAGCGATAGGAAACCACTGAAAAGCAGCTAGTAGCTTCAGGCCCATTACAAACAGGAACAAACACGCACAGAAATAGAGCACATGCACAGACACACACACACACACCCACGCGCTACAGCAGAAATACGCAGTATATGCACTGAATACAGTACAATAAAAGAAGCTGACATCACACATAATAAGGGTGTTTCAAGACAAACAAAGAACATATTGTCAAAATGTGAGAAAATGTGAGTCATTCTCACACCGAAGCAGATTTTTCCCCGTAAATTATTAAAGGCTTTGCAGTTTTGGATCTGGCATAGAAACATGCAAGCTTTGGTGAGAAGATAACACACCGCTTCTTGTGAATTTGATACGAAGAGAAGAGAAGAAGTGTTGGACAGAATAAAGAGAAAACGAGCAAAGAGGTCACTGCAGACGGCAGCTTAGGAAAAAAAAGCATGTGAGATGTTCAGTGGCTGCAGTGTCTATGTTTTTTATCAGGCCAAAAATAAAAACATGAGAGTGGGGGTGGAAATAGGCACATTCGAGAGAAACAGGAATGAACACTGCAGCAAATTATTTTGGACTCAAAACACCACCCCTGCTAAATCTGATCATGCTGACAGTGACTACAAAGCACTGGTGGCATTTTTAACTCTTCAAAGCCTTTTTTACTGATACACAAAAGCTGCGGAAGTCGTCTCTCAGTAGGGGAACACGAGGACACGGATCCTCTCCTTCTGAGGGACCAGAAGATCAGTGAAGGCCCCATGCATCGGTCACTGCAGGTGAAACGACACGACAGCTGTTAAAGGATGAAATACAGACGTGATGTACAGATTTCCTTACAGCTTAAACACATTCCTGTTGGACTCTTTTACAAGACTACCAAAGAAATATATTTGTGTCCTGGTCTAACAAACATTTTCTTTCTATGATAATCCTACATAATGTTGAAAAAGCAATCTGAAAAGCTGATTAAGCTAAATCGGATCATGGTATCCACTTTCAGGTTAGTGTACCCGCCCTCTTTACTGTAATCCTCAAAAAAAAGGATAGCAGCATATTGCGGAAAATATGGCAGAGATTTAACACATAACTAATCTCCCATGTTCTATCTGCTCCCCATTTATCTGCATTCTCAGCCAGCAGAGGTTTAACACACACACAGGGACACATCCAGTATGTGGGCAAAAGGCAAGATAAGAGTCTGTAAAAATGTGCTCTGCAGCTTATATTCATCTAGACCCATATAACAAGTCACAGGGCAGAGAGTAAAGTGAATATGAGGGGGATAAAAGTCAAAGTGGTGTAAATCTACTGACAGATCCTGTACCGGTGTGTGTGCAGCGCAGCAGAGAGGCGACGAAGCCATGTCGCTCGCGAGGTCCAGAGCAAGCCAGGTCTGCTTTTTCGTCAACGTAACTAGAGAGGAACACACAACACAAAGCAGCAGAAAAGTGGGACACAACTCAACTGTCCTCCTGAGAAACCCCAGGGATTATTTGTTTTTTCTTATATTGCTCCTGACTGAAGTACACCCAGTGCTAAAACAGTCAGAGTATCAGTTATCTAACTGACTTACTAAGGCTATTCAATTCTTCATCTGATATTGTGTGTCATTAAGAGCTATCCTGAATAAGTATATAATAAAGTCTGTACACATAACCTGTCCGGATGTTGGATCCTCCCTTTTTCCCACCGGTGACATGTCAGCAGCTCTGCAGATGAATCCAGTGACACCGACAGCAGGGGTTGTACCTGGAAAATAAAATTGTACGTATTGAATAAATGTGTGAAACATTTTGCATATTTTAATAATGATGTTTTTTAGAACAAATGTTGTACTGTGGTGTCTATTGTTATCTATGTTTTGCATTTTCTGTTTGTAGGCCATCGTATTGCCTAAGGAAATGGATTTGTCTTTGCTAAAAATAAAGACATTCAATCCATCCATATATCTATCTGTCCATCTATCTATATATCTATCTAATCAGAAATGTCTGTAAGTTGATTTTGCAGTAAATGACTAATATGCTGTTGCATTTCATTCATTATTTTGTGTTAATTTGCCCAAGTTGCCCTTTAGAATAAAAATAAATACAATCATTCATAACCTGAGACCATAGCTTAGGTTTAAGTTAAATGTGACACATTTTTTGTCCTAGCAGTGCAAATATAATAAATGTACATTGGCTGCACAGAAACTGTGGATAAAGACTAGGAGGCTATTCAGTATACTGTAACACTTTCTACAGCAACTTATTGTCAGACATTATATAAATCTTCATTATGTGGTGTGTGTCTACCAGAAATAGATTTTTCAATAAATAATCACATTCTAATATCCATAAACCCTTCAAGGAAGACAGGTTGAGGAAAGACACACCAGGCCCGCCTCTGCAGGAAATTAAATGAGTCCATGTTTATCTAACTTAACAGCAAATGCATCTGATTGAACTAGTTTAAACAGCGAAATAAAACGTCGAGTGTGAAAACAGAAACAGGAGGGTCTTTGTGTTCCTACCAGTGTTCTCGGGTCTCCACATGCACCTGTCCCGCAGCATCAAACGGTGCGAAAAGATCACTTGTTCTTTTTCTTCCTCCTCTTCCATGCTGAGGGCCAAGCGCCAGATACTGCAAATCCACGCCGTGTGTGTGCAGCGGTTAGCCCGCAGTGAGAGGCAGCTCGCCCCCCGGACCTCTTCACGCTACGGACTAACACAAGAACAGAGCTTCGTCTACATGGCTGCCGAGACGAGCAGATGTGGGAGTGCCAACAACAGCTGCGCACTGACGGCAGACCAGTCCGGGGAAAACAGGATAAAGTGCGAGACGGAAGCCCCGGGACAAAGGAAATGGATGGGAGGTATTAGAGCGAACAGAGACGTCTTTGAGTGAGAGGGTCCGCACAGATCTGAATTAATCATTAGACTCGCTCTCCAGCTGCTGCCACAGGTTTAGGGTCTTTTGTATGCGCACCCTTCATCCACCATCTGTGTTTCCTGGGCAACAGAGGACTGCCTGAAGGCAACACCGCCTAGTACACAGCAGCCACCTCATGCCAAAATACACTATTCTGCTGTATTATACTTAAAAGAGAGATACTCTAGGTTTATGGTTTGTATACGTCTAAAATGTCCTGATTTACTAATATCTCTGTTCAAGCATTTATTTTTATTTTACTCAAGCAGCACACAAACACAATGACAATACGCAGCTGTGCTATGATGATGAATTGTAATTACATTACAAGTTTATTTAATGGTTTATTTAACATTCAAATGACAGCCTTATTGTTTGGATTGTGATGTTTACGCTTAATTTTTGCATTTTAGAGTGTCTTTAATATAAATATTACTTTGCCTTATCTGTAATTGTGGTTTCATGTTTTATGATTAAAAAAATCTTTACAAGGTTGTGATTGTATTGTTTTAATATGTGTAATAAATATAAATAAAGTAATTGTTATGAAAATAATAATACATATGTAGTTGTATTTTTCTATATTTTTTAAACATACTATACAATGTCTTTTTTCATAGCATTAGAGTTTGCACAAAATGAATTCAAGCAAGTCAAGATTTGAGAGCATGCATGGACACATGGCAGAAAGATCTGCAAACTTCAATGTATTCTTATATTCATGTGTTGTGCAACTAGCTTTAACAGGAAATCCCTGTTGAAGCCCATATGTAGCAAAAATGTCCTTTGTGCAGTTTTTGAGGAGCTCTAGATAAAACAGCGGACCTTGCAGGGACATTTCTTACATTGCAGTGTCTAACAGGATGTCACTTCTAGTTCAAAAAGTCATGCTTTCGTTTTGAGTGTGCATGCAAAGGAATATGTCTGACCTGAAAGACCAACTTTGAAGATGTGAGAAAAGAAAACACATTTCTGCTGACACATTTCTTCTTGCAGGTTCAAACTATCTGTCATGCTTTCATACTCGATTTGAACTTAAACCAGAGATGTGTCTTAGATCTTTAATAGTGCTCAAATTGAACTTTTGCTTGTATTAGCGTTTAAATTCAATGTGACATCAACTTTTATCTTAAAATTATGTTTATAAGTAGGGCTGCAATTGCCAATTATTTTCCTTATCCTTTGGTCTGCTGATTATGTTAGTTGACCACATTTTCTTGAATAATCGGTTATCAAGAAAGTTGCCAATTATTTTCCTGCTGTTCGACTAATCATTGCAGAAAATTGTTTTGTTATTTCGGTATTGAAAAGCGTTGTCTCTCAGTTGAAGTAGGCTACTGTCTTTGTGACTTGAATGGGAGAAACAAATCAAATATTCAACTATCTGCATATTTACCATCAGCAGTAATGAGGGGACGCAGTGAGGAACGTAAGAAAAGTTGAGTTTATTTTTGTTTGTTGGTTAAATATATTGTCACACTTAAACCAAGCTAGGCCTGAAACAGTAACCTGCTGGTTCATAGCGTACAGTAGGTCAAACTCTAAATAAGAAAGTAAGCCTGGCTGCCAATCATGTTTTTATGAGTGCTGGTGTGGAAGAAGGAGACGATGAGCTTCAGACGCAGACTGCCATTTCTCCAGCTCCACCTTCAACTCCACGGTCACCGGCTCCAGATGCACTTCCATCTCGCAGTCATTTGTTTCCTTTACTTTGCCTACAAAACAAACAGGAGTCATGATTATGATTTTAAGCAGACTGAAAAGAAAAGTTTACATCCATCAAAACACATCCCTTTGAAAATGTCCTTTACATTGGACAGCAAATATGGAAAGGGAGTAAGGAAATCCTCTTTAATCGTCACATAGGGGCATGTACACAACACCGCACACACAGTGACATTTGTCTCTCTGCACTTAACCATTGCTAGTATGAGGATGTGTTTGGGAGCTATTATAAAGCACCCTGGTACTGTGCCTTGCTCAAGGGCACGTGGACAAGGCCCCTAATGCAAACTAGCACC